CCCTCCCCTACCCTGGGGTTCTTTAAGAGGAGGTTAGACAGGCATCTAGATGGGGTCATCTAGACCCAGCGCTCTTTCCTGCATATGCAGGGGGTTGGACTCGATGATCTATTGAGGTCCCTTCCGACCCTAACATCTATGAATCTATGAATCTATAAAATCACTCAGGCACGTAAATTCATTAGATATCTCCATCTTGGCCTCAAAACCTCTTAGGAGGCTTGGCTCAGACTACTGCTCATGCTCTGAAGCAGCCCAGGTCACTTGTGTAAGAATGTTTGAGCCAGACCGGAAGCAGTGGCCATGGAGGAAGGCAGGCAAAGCAATGGAATGGAGTTCCTCCTGCCTGACTGGGATAACTCAGCTGCAGAGAACTGGGGAGAAACTATAAAAAGAGGCAAAGCAGCTTACTGATGAGAATGGTAAGTGGAGAGAAAGGATTCAATTAGAAAAGATTCAAGTTTGGGAGTTTTTTCTTGTTTTTTGTTGGTGTTTTGTTTTGATTTTGTTTTGTTTTGTTGCCATCCTGGGGGCGGACCTTTATGTCATTTATTTAATTTATTTCAATAAAGTCAAAATAAATGCTTTAAAATAAAAAGTAATTTTATCTGTCAAAATTATAAAAAAATAAAAATGGAATTCTTCCAACACCAATCATAACAGAGCTTAGGTGTGAGTTAAGCCTCTAAATGGCTGATCATCAGGATCACTTCTGATCAGGCACAGTAGCCTAAGCCAAGATGCTTAGGTATCTTTTCAAGCCAATATGGAGGCACCTCATGAATCTAGGTACATAAGTGTTTTTTGAAGCTCAACTGCTGTAGTAAAATTAATCTGGATTGCTCTTTGTTACGTAGGCAGCTAAATTCCACCAAACCTTCTTTAGTCACTTACAAGTTTGATTTGATCTGTCCCTTAATCCTTTCAAAGCCATGTACAGAAATGTGTATACACTAATAAATATTTTGGGCCTACGTATCCTGATTTAATCGGGAACTAAATCATATGTTTAAATTCATCTTTATTCAACAAAAGTGCTTAGCAAAAGCTTAAAATATGTTTGACGTCTCAGGGAATTAAAGGCTAAATCAATCTTATCACACTCACTGAAAGAGTAATCATTAAGGCAATTAACATATACATTACGTTATTTAACACCTCTCAAATCAGCAGAAAATGTTATTCTAGTATAAAATTTCATTTTCAGACTGAAACATCCATTTCTCAAAATATTCTAGCAAATACAATGCTTATATAAAACTAAATACAAGAAAGGCTGCTTTTTATCTACTTAAGATATTATAAAAGTATGAAGAGGAATTGAAACTATTATTTATATAATATGCATTTATTAATCCATTCAAAAATAAACAGTCAGTAATAAGATAAAAGAACATACCGCAGGAAGGGCAAAGAATGAAATAGCAAAAACTGAAAAACAAGAAGCAATGGTCTTTCCTATCCAAGTCTGAGGCACCTTATCCCCATAACCAATAGTTGTAACAGTCACCTATAAAGAAAAATACATATTACATTATCAGCAAACATAAATGTTGTACTCTTCAGACATTTTTACATGAACACTCAGTGTGTTACTGTTAAACTTGTAGAATTATGCGCAAGTCTAATTTTAGCACCAAAATCTTACTTCACCAGTCAGACTGAAGAAAAATGAAAAAAAAATTAGTAATTATTACATCAGGTCCACATGAAACATTTTCCCCCCCTTTACTCTGGTAAAATCAAAAACTGAAAAGAAAATACTGGTTCAACTATTTCAACAGTCTAAGTTACCAAATGTTCTCAGACAGCAACTCCTTTAATTCTGAACAGAACCCAGGACCAGACCCTAGACACTAGGGTACTGGTTATATTTTGATTTACCCCACTATCTGCATAACCTTAGGAAAATTAATTCATCCCCCCCCTTGTGCAAAAAGAGTATAGGAAATTGAATTACAATAAAGTATGTGTACATTGTAAAGTAAAAATATTAATTTAGGTTGTCATGACTTGGAAAGCATTAGAGTACATGAAATTGCTGGGACATGGGTTAGCTGCCAGCCCAATTCAGAATTGCTGATTTTATTTATGTGCAAGAGATGTTTGCTAAGGCTATAACATTACTGTTACATCTGAAGGACACATACAGTGAACCTGTATGATACTACAGGGGTCAATTATAAAATACATTAGAGCCTAGTGTTAATGGAAATCATCATGGCAAAAGTTAAGCAATTTCATAGAGAAATTGAGCAAAACAGATTAACAAATCCTTAACAATGCAGCCTGTTCAATGAATTACTAAATTTACATAGCACGTCAACAGCAAACAGCATAACTTACAACACAGAGGAAATACCTGTAAAGTTAGGTTTTCAAGATGTGGATGTGAAGATTACCACAACACCTATGTAGCATAACAAGGTTTATCGAGGCTGTAGGCTGTACTGAGTCATTATTTACAGGAAACTGAGGCTTACTTGTATGCCCTCCAGCACTAATAGAATCTGCTATAACAACGAAAGTACGGTAGGTGTAAACTCCATCTCCAGGATTAGTTAAATTTACACAAAGCATTTCCAAGTTTGGAATTTTGGCCAGTTGGGTGGCTAATTTTATCTAGAGACAAGTGGTAAACTGGATCTGGCATTGGATCGGGGCATTGGAGACGTATTCAAATCCAAGATCTTTCACTCACTCAAACAATTACACTCTGTAAGTTGCTTTACTTGTGCCTTGCCTCCCTTCCTACCATGTTTTACTTTTTTAGATAATTTTTTCAAGGGATAGAAAGTCTGGCTTGAGGCCCTTGCCTGTCTTTGATAATGCTCCTGTTATAAGGCAGGAATGAGTTGGTGGATATGCCACAGCCATCTCAAACAAGAGGTCAGATTCCCCTTGGTTCTATCCTGCACATTCTTTTATACCTTGTACTTATGATCGGTATTAGGTAGGGTAGGAAGCAGCCTAGGAAAGATGCCACAGTTTTATTTTGTTAAGAAAAAAGGGTGGGGGAGGGATATTTTGAGTGTTTCTATAGAATAATTCTGCCAGGGTACAGATTCTGTGGTGAAGGGAGGTAATTCTGGCACCACTGCTAACTTGGTGCCTATGGCAGACACCCCTCTTGCCACCCCTAGTTATGCTACTAGGAAAATACATATTGTTCAATGGTGCAAGTTGATTAATTTTATTTAAAGAATATTTTGAAAATTGGAGTCCAAATCAGGGTACGCGTAAAAGCTAACATTTTCCTCTCCAGTCCAACCTGTAATGCAAGTGATTCTCATCCAGGGTGATGGGCCACCCTGGGATGCCACAAGATCCTTTGAAGGGTACCACAGGAAGCATGAAGAGATAAGTGAGGTATGAGTAGACAAGCAGATAGAGAGCAGGCTCAACCTCTCCCTGCCTGGCTGTTCCCCTGCCCTCACTGCCTGGACCCTCTGCAAGGAGGCAAATACTGTAATAAATACATTCGTATCTGAAATAGGGTGCTGCTCAGTTTACAAAAATGATGGAGGGGTGCCTGGAGGCTACTGCTCTAATGCATCCACAAACATATTTTATTCCAAAATCACACAAACCTCCTTCCCTCCCTCTCCCCACATATATATCTTATTTCCTGGTTGAAATTTCATGTGTTAAGTTTCAACCCTGCATAAACTTTTACAGCCAGGTTTTAAGCCCCTAAAGAGCAGAATACTAATTGTACAGTTGTAAAATAGGAGTTTATAATGGAAATCCTGACACTGCCTCTACTCTAGCACTGAAAATGCATTGCCATAATGAAACTAAATTGATCCAAGTGCTCACACATTAAATTTTCATTGCAAATCAGCAGGAGAAGCTAACTGCTTTAATTAAGAACAAGATCATATGTACTCATTCACCATTTCAGAACTTTGATCTGGTGCACATCACCACAGGGACTGTGTTAAATTTAATCTTGTTCCAATTAAACATCAATAGTCTAGAGGAGGGAATGTGAAGCAACAAGATTACAACAAGAAATAGGAAGATTAGTCAGTACTGAAGAGAAAAGGGATCATATTTAAGACACCTGGACAAAACGAGAGACCATAATTTAAATCAAGGACATAATGCTTTCTTTTCCTGACAGTGTGCTCAGAGCACCTCACACAGATTGGGGCAGATATGCAGCTGCCAAACATGGCTTTCAAGACTCCAAGGTCTACAGAGGAAATAAAAATTGGCAAATGCCACAAAACAGAGAGCAAACAAAAAACCAAGAGGTTAATAATTGGCCAAACAAGTACTGGGAAATTTCCTTAAACAGAAGTGCTTCAATCTCTTTCTCTCTCTCTTTTTGGAACACGGCAACCTCAAAAGAATTGAGACAGATATTTTTCAGGATATGAAATGCCTCTCTAAAGAATTTTTCTTCACTTACAACCAGACCCTATATTAACTAAGCAATATTGGGGAAGTGTTTGTCGTATAAGCTACTTAAAGCCCTATGGGATATTCAAATCCACACCACACTGATACAATTTCCACAACCTGTGCAATGAAACTATAATCAACTGGTTCAGATGCTTTCCTCTTTGCCCACCCAACAAGATGAGAAGCAGCTTCCAACCTTCCTTCCTTTTTTTGTGTCCTCTGGTGACAAGGTATTTAGCAGAATTTGCAGGTGTGTTGGAATCTGACAGGGCTGTACTTTGAACACTTCTGCTATGGCCTCAAACTTGTGACTGCTGGGTTGTCACCTGTGGACCTTAGTGCCCATGCCACCCCAGGCTCATAGCTCCCAATCAGAATGAATGTTCTTATGCTATTCACTGCTTGCCATCTTACATGGTGACTTCCAGTTGTGCATAGTGAATGGAAAGTGGTTCCTTTCCATTTTGGTAGATTTTTACACTGACATTGCACAGCTAGAAAAGATTAGATTTCCTGAAATACAATAAATAGGTGGGCTTGATAATTTTAAATCAATACCTAACAATGATCTTCCTGGATGCTGCTAGGTTACATAAATATTCTCCTACATCTTGTGACAATCTCAAAGCACTTTTTAAGCACAAACCAGTTCAGGCTCATAACACCTCCCTGAGGTAAATAAGGAATAAGGCAGAGTAGAATAGACCTTATAGACTAACTAAATAATATATACAGAGAAAGAGTAAAAGCTTTTGTGTACTCAAATTCACTTCATCAGCTGCTGTGAAAGGGCAGCACAGAGCAGTGTATGAAGTGGAATGAGTGATTTGAATACAAAAGATACTAAAAAATAAGAACAGAATGTGGACTATGCCATTATCTACAACTAGATAATGTTGCCGTAGCTGGGGTGGACTGCAGCAGCTGATGAACAGTATACAGAACACCTATGTGTATACTAAATTCATTTTCTTTCTACTTTGAAAAGTAGAAAGTACTAGGAACATCAGGAAAGACCACGGAGTATAGCCTCTTGTTGTCAAAGGCAACTGCATCTCGTAACTCCAGACATAAACTGATCAAGCTACATCTTTAAACAAGTTGGATTTTGCCCCTCTCAAGCTCCTTCTGGAAAACTGTTTCAAAATCTCAGTCCCCTGACAGTTAAAAGCCTTCCTCTAATCACCAGCCAAAATATATTCATAGCTAGTTTACATCTAGATATTTTTGTACTTCAAATTAATGTTTAACCCTGCCTGGCATAGATATAGTATTCTATCATATCTTCTCTCAGCCTTTGTTTTGCTAGGTCAAACAAGCCAAGCTTTTTAAACTTCTCTAGGACCCCCTAACTATTCCAGGTATCACACAATTATCTTAAAACCAGCTACATGTGCAAAGCCATTAACCACGCCATAAAAAGTCCATCCAGCTATAAAGTTAGACCTTGTAAATGTGTCCTAACTTTATAGCTGGTTGCTATCGAGCTTTAATTTGCAAGTGTAGCAGGGTCTCCCCTATGGCTGGGAGCCCTGTCAACTGATGGGGGTCCCAGTCACAGGAGTACACCATGCCCAGCCAGAGCTGAGACTCCCACAACTGAGGGGACTCTCAGCCCCAGCACCTGCCGACTCTGGGTCCCAGGAGCATAGGGACCCAGAGTCCCACATCTGTGCACACTGGGCACTGGGATGCAGCTGGGTCCCAGCAGCTAAGCGGTGTGGCTACCCCAGGGGTATGTGAAACCCCTGGGCCTTGAAGATTGCAGCAGCCATGATCTCCTAGGCTCAGGGTGCATGAAATGGCAGGAGGCGCAACTGTGTGGATCGCACACTGGATCCCATCATTCCTCTACCTGCACGTGTACAGGAGGCCCTAGTAACAGAAAGAGAGAGCAGTGCTTAGCTGTGTGTCAGGGCTGACTTGCCCCTTAAAGATGAGCTCATCCAGACTCGCATGAGCTTTCATAGGTGACAGCTTATGAATGGATAAATTTGATGAAGTAGACTGTTGCCTATGAAAGCTTACACCTCTCTGAACAAGTTAGTCTCTAAGGGGTCACCATGCCCTGTTTTCTGCCTGGTAACATAGGCTGTCCAA